GAACCGCCAACCAGAAGAACAGCAGCAACACGAAAATACGCTTGCACTGGCACTTCCGCCGCAGCAACATGAAAACACGCTTACATTGACACTCCCGCTGCAGCAACAACCGAAGAACAACGGCAGAGGCGGTGGAGGCGAAAGAGAAGACTGCTGGAGCGAAGGCGCCACTGGTGTTCTAATCGACGCGTGGGGAGAGAGGTATTTGGAGCTGAGCCGTGGGAACTTAAAGCAGAAACATTGGAAAGAAGTGGCGGATATTGTGAGTGCAAGAGAGGACTACACGAAGACTCCGAAAACGGATATTCAGTGTAAGAATCGAATCGATACGGTAAAGAAGAAGTATAAGGTAGAGAAAGCTAAGATTGCATCTGGAGGTGGGCCTAGTAAGTGGGTCTTTTTCGAGAAATTGGATCAACTCATAGGACCCACGGCCAAGATTACTGGTAATGCTGCGGCCGTGGTTGGTGGCAGTGGTGTAAGTACTGGCTTTTTGTCTAAAATACCCATGGGGATTCCGGTTGGGATCCGTTCCAGTTTGAATCCATTTCGAGTTTCTCAGCTTCAAAAAAGGCAACAACAACAAAAACAACCAAGGGTGGTTGTATTAAAAAATCAGAATACGATGCATCTCACGAAGCGGGGTCCGTTGGGTACAAATTCTGAGGAGGAAGAGGAGAAGCAGAAGCAGGAGGAAGCGGATTCATTGAATAGTTCACCGCCACGTCCAACGGGTAAAAGAGCAAGGAGGGTGGTTCATAAGGGTGTCGATTCAGGGGAGAAAGGAAGGAAATGGGGGAACTCCCTCAGAGAATTGACTCAGGCGATATTGAGGTTTGGTGAAGCTTATGAGCAGGCGGAGAGTGCGAAGTTACAACAGGTGGTGGAGATGGAGAAGCAGAGGATGGAGTTTGCAAAGGAGCTGGAGTTGCAGAGGATGCAGTTTTTCATGAAGACCCAGCTAGAGATTTCACAGTTGAAGCATGGGAGAAAAGGTGCTGGAATTGGGAATGGCAGTAATCATTATAGTAACATTAATAATAGCAATAACAACAACATTAGTGATAGTACTTAAGTAAATTCAGTAGGCTTGGAATTGGATTAGGAGTTAGATTTTACTTTGTGTTTTCTTGGGTTAAGAGTAAAGACCCTAGGTTTGTATTTGAATTGGTAGTTTTCGAGTGTATCTTCATGCTTTCTTTGTTATACTTTTTTCTTTTTTATCACAATTTAACTTGAAGCACTGTTAATGTAGTGAATAGATGCTCAATTATTTTGTACCAAAAGAAGTTTCTCTTAAATTTATTTTGAATGTAGTTGGATATTTTCAAATCAAATCTATTGATGGCTACATTGCTTTTGTGTGGTGAGCCAGTCCAAAGGATCAGTTCAAACCCGAAATTACAGATCTATATTCGGCCAGCTTTGAATCTTTTGGTTGCATCCGAGTGGATTCTGGAGCAATACTCCGGTTCACTGCTTGTTAATAGTAAAGTTTTCCCACTGGAGAACTGAACCTTTTGCTGCTGTATGCTTATGCAATCATCTGCAATCCGTACGGATTGATTAGTTAATTTGTTTAAGTTGGTTTTCCAAAATGCCAATGACACAGAACAATAAAGAATTTTGGGAGAAACCTTATTTTAACTGTCAATGTTGTGCTAGCCGCAAGCTAGGATCTTGGTGGATAGTCTCCTTACTGATATGCCAAGTGAAACCAATAGTACGGAAGTGCATAAACAATGAAAATATCATTTACGGACCATGGTGATAAGCAGTTATAATTCCCTCTTCTAGCAAAAGAGCAGCATATGCTTGGATGTAGAAAGAGCTGAAGATGAAGCTGGTCAAACTAAAAGGACATGAATTAGTTCTACATTTACCCAAGATTGGTAAGTTTCTTGATTAGTGAACCGATGATAATGAACAATAATACCTGGCTTCTACTTTCGTCCCAGGAATGTGAAGACTACTTCACTTGACCAAAAACGTGTTCTTCAACTGCTAGAAAACAACTTCAATATTGCTCATCCCATGCAGCGACCACCCTTCGCTGTTGGGCAAGCCATCCTAGGGTAATCTGCAACAAGATTCCTACTATATTATTCATAGAAAATAACATATCCAACTAAGGCAATATGGAAACCATTTTGCATATGACTTATTTTCCCTACGATAGAGCAACTTAAAAAAAAAAAAAAAAAGCATTTTGATAAACACCTAAAAGGCAATAACAAATTAGATTTAACCTACATAGCATTAGCAATAACAGAGTTTATTGATGACAGAGTGTTTTCATCACAGAGTAGCATGCAGGAAATTATGGCACAAATAATAAATTCAGAAACAAATAGTTTAGCAGGAACTCGATTCTTCCTGTTTTCTCCAAATCATGGCATCAACAATTTTAGTTTAGTGCATGTAGGTGCTGTGCCCACTTAGTAGAGTCCAGTATTTCCATTCTCTCATTGTGAATGGTACTAAACCAGTATTAGCTAACAGCTCGAATGCTAATAACTACAAATTTCTGACCATATACACAATGAAAAATCTGAAAAAAAGTAATCTGTTGCTATTTGTGATACAATCACCACTAGTGGAAACATCCCAAATATACTGCAATTTGCTTTTCACAGTTCTACTTTTCATTTGTCTAACCGAGATATATATAATGCCCTAAGTGACGAGAAGAAAATTTGACTACAAAAGATATATGAGAAGACATGAGAGTCAGAGTAGTTCAAAGTTCAACCAACTATATCACTTGTTTGGTAGAAAGGAAAGAAAGGGGCAAGGAAAGAAAAGTTCTAATTTAATGCTTGAGTTACATAGCAACATGTGCTATTTTGTAGCTCAACCATAGATTAAACCATTTTCCTTCCTTTCCTCTCTCTTTCCTTCCTATCAAACAGAGAATAACTGGAAATTTTGTTTTCTTTTATATAAATGAAAACAAACATTGTCTAATTTAATTTCTCTTTCTCTGGTAATTATCAGGGAAGAAGTATCATCAAAGTGAAAATTTAATACCCCTTGTATGGGTTATAGAAATACTAGTTTTCTGATTCATGAGATGCTTTTTTATCAAATATAATATAGTGACTGTTTAAGGAATAAACTATTAGGTTTCATGACAAAAACAAGTCTCCTTAGTTGAATCTTAAGCTGTAATTCCTCATTAAATTAGATGATTACACTAGAAAGGGGAACAAATCCATTGGCAACAATATGCAACTTTTCAATGATAAAATAGTCAAACAACGGTCCAAACCACAAGAAAAGATGGAATATTATGAAAATCTTTATCCCTTTAGCTTTTGAAACTCCTTTTGCACTTGTGTCCCAGAATATAATTAATTCAAATACCAATATATACTATAAGATTGCCTTGCACCTAAAGCAACAAAGAAACAAAGTTGACAACATTGAAATCCTAGACATATCAAGAAAATCCACGCAAAGCAAAAGGGTCACGGTAACAAATCTCAAAGTCCAAGTTGAACAATATCAATTGTCGGAGAGAAAGCCAAAAAAAAAAATTACAGTTACTACAACTAAATGATATGTTCCTAGTTTCCAAGCAATCATGTATTACGCTTTTGCTTAACATTTCAGTCATGTGTCAACTATAGATTTTGTTTTTTTGCCAAAAAATATAAACCATCATAGAAAATTCAACGACCCCAGTTCTCTGATCATGCAAACAGCTATATAATTGAAAACCCATTAAGGATTATGACTCTATATAAGCTAGAACTACAGAGAAAGTTGTAATCAAGCCAAGCTGAAAAAGATAAGAGCTTACTGGGGCTTTAAGAGAAAGAAACTTTGATTTGTAGCACCAAAAAACCCAGAAATTTTGCGACAGAAACCTTGCTTGTCTGGATTCTAGAATTCAAGCTGAACCATAAACTGGAATTTTTGAGGTACAATGTTCCCCCTTTTTTTTCCTTTGTCTTGGATTTTGTATAATGTTCATATTTTTAGGTTTTCTTTTATTTTTTATTAATATATAAATAAAATAAATGCAATAATAAATTGCTTCATTATTGGACTCTTATCTTAATGGATACTAGAATTTTTTTTTTATTTTTCAAAGAAAAAGAATTTAATGGCTATATTAATTTTTTTTATACATATAAAAAGTTAAGAAATAAAAATTGGGCTTCCAAATTTTCAAAGAAGAATAATGAGGGTTGAGTTAAATTTAAATATTTTATATTTTATATAAAATAAGTTTTGAAATGGAAGAAGAAGTCAAAATCTTATATTTTTTTTTAGAGGTGATCGATTTTATGAATTAATTGAGATAAATTTTAAATTTATATTATTTTATATTAAATTTTTATGATGAAATTAAATATTATAAATAAATTTTTTTAAAAAAGGATATCCATTATTTTTTATTATTTTTAATAATTAATTAATTATTATTATTTGAAATAATTAATTTGCTATCTTTGGCACCCAAATTTTAATATATCTATATAGACAAATTTTGATAAATTTTTCTTGATATTGGAGAGAGGAGCTTCACTTCTTAAGTTTCAATTGTGGGCCAAAACTAATTAAGGCAACGGATCAAGTAGGGGTTGATTTTCTCATTTCAAACCCTATTTGATTTTATAAAATAAATATTCGATTTAATTTGATATTAAAATATTTTTTTAGTTTTGACTTAATCTAGTCATATGAATAAAATTATAATTGATTTAATTTGATCTAAAATTAATTTAATAATTTTAATTTAATAAAATATTTATAAAAAATTATATTTTAATTATATATAAATATAATATTTTTATTAAATTCATATTTAAATTAAAGTATTATATAATAAGTTTATTAATATAATATATATAATTAAATAAATAAATAAAAATTATGTATATATATTGAGTTAGATCGATACAAGTTTACTTAAAACTCAACTTCAATTTTATTTAAAAAAAAAAATTGATCCAATCCCATCAACATTAAATTTTTTTTTTTAAATAAATTGACCTTAAAAGATTAGGTTGATCGTAACCCGACAAGTTTGGATATTATTGCTAACCCTAGCCAAAAAATTGAGCATTACAAATTATTTCTAGATTTTTTTTTTCATAGTATTTGCTTTTGGTTTCGGTTTTAGTGAAGTTTCTAATTTCTGGTGATTCTGCCAAATACAGGACCTAGAACTGAAATGAAACTTCTGAAATTTCATTGCCTACCAAGAAAATATACTAACTTGTTTAGTGAATGAAAATCTTACAAAGAGAATAAATGCAAGGTTGTAAAAGATATTAGTTCATAAGAAGGTAATTAAAAATACATCTTAATAACCCATATTTCTTTTCAATTCAATTTAATCCACAACGAAATCATCTGCAAATGAGAATTTTGTTTTACAAATTTTTTCAATTCAATTGCAATTTCAAAATTTCCGCTATACACATAATTATGTAAAAAAAAAAAAAGTATACAAAAAAGTAAGTAAAATTAAAAAAATTTACATATTTTTTAACTATTAATTTTAATAAATATAAGAAATAAAAAAATCAAGACAAAAAGAAAAAATATATATTAATATCGTCTTTAAATATATTAAATTAATGATTAAAAATGGTATAATACCTAAATAAGCTTTCAATTTTACTCTAAATGCAATTAAGCCCTCAATCTTTTATTATATGAAATTAAGATTATGAACTTTTATTTTATCATAATTAGAACCTTGATGATATAAAATATGCAATTTTTTTTTAAATTCTTTAATTGGATGATTTAATTTATAGAAAATGCTTACTTAAATTCATTTAGATGAATTAAATGATAAATATTTAAGAGAATATGATTTTAAAAATGTTATCAATTAGACATTATTTATTTAATTTTAAGATTTAATGAATATAATTACAATAAAATAAAAATTCACAATATTAATTTCCCGCAATAAAAATATCGAGGACTTATTTACATTTTGAAATAAAGTTCAAGAATTTATTTAGATATTAAACCTTAAAAAAATTATATTAACGTTATATCATATACCAACTCATTAAAAAAATTCACATGACACCATCTATTGAACAAACGGGGGCCATTACAAAATTCCAAACCTAAGGTAGTTGTGAGAGGGATGATATATAAATTAATGTTCATGATTCAATCAGGACCCTTCATTTTGCAAATGATTTTAGATGGGCCTACCTGGATACTGATGGCGACCTTACCAAGCCATCCCTCCACTCTCTAGTGAATCACAGCCGCTGGTTTTACTTATCACGTGGGCTGTTTATTTGTTTGTTGTTAAAGATTAATCAAGGGATTTTTGGGGTTAAATCCCTTATCTTTTGGAATAATATCCAAAAGCTGAAATATTTGATGTTTCGTTATCAATAATAATCTCAATCAATTGGTAATTATGATTCCTTAATCAAGTTTGTTAGAAAACTAAAAGCAGAAAATTACACGTCTACCAATTTGGCGAATAATTATTATTGTTGTTTTTACTTTTTATTTTTCAAATTTCACTTTTAATTAAAAAATTAGCCATCTGT